AAGTACGTGACGCTTGGCAGGCATCGGCAGGCAGACGCTTGGTAAAGGGACTGCTGACTTCCCGGCCCCGTTGGCGGGGATTAGGAGGTCAGTATTCGCCATCCACGTTACACGAACGCACTGCCCATCTTTTGGCGGCGTGTGGGGAAGCCCTGGAGACATGAGCTTTGACAGTCGCTCATATATGAACAAACTGACCGATATTTTCTGGCAGGGTTGCTACTTCGGCTTTTATTGGATCGGCGCACCGGAACAGAATGTTTGTTTCGCGACCATCACAGTAGGCCACTGTCGACATTCTCCAGTTTCCAGACCTACCCTCTGGACTTTGAGCCTTTGGGAAGATGGCATTCCTCGTCCGGGTGCCTGCTGCCCTGCATAAGAGCCGAATTAAGGCGGTGTAACTTGTTCTCAGCGTGGGCAGTGGGAACTCTTCGATTTGCTTACACACATTCTCTATTTCCCCTGTTGGTTTTGAAGGGAATCTATCACTACAGGAATTGAGTTATTCGTTGCAGGGGGCTCAAGCAAATGGAGGGTTCCACTCGGGAAATAAGGATGGTAGAGCCCGAGCTTCGCTGCAGCAGCACCGGCATACTCCATATGCCCCCTTCAGGTGAGTTATGATTCTCCGGTAGGAGTCCAACCAGACCACTCCTTCCCACACTCCTTCGCTTGTTTCCCCATGCCCCCAAAGCGAAGCCCCAAGGCAAGGCCTATTCTGGAGAAAATGAAGGGAAGGGGGATTGGGGGAGGGAAGTTAGACCAAGAAGGCCACCAAAGGTTGGAACACAGCTCAGTTTGTGAGCGCAACAGGTTCCTCCAAACAAACCTTCCCCAGGCCTTACTAAGATCTCCTGAATTGCAGGTTCAGGGGGGGAACACTCCTATGGTGGACACTTGGGTTCTATTTTGCGACCGCCTCAAGAGTTGTTTTTTGTTCGAGTCCGCTAACTGGCAAGTCCATGTCTGGGTCTTTTAGGGTGTGTCATCTTCAACATTGTCCTCTGAGTAGTGGTGAACATGGAAGCCCCCGCCTAACGTAAAATTGGCAACGCCTCCAACTGCAACCACCATGAGTTGGACCCATGTGTTCATGGGTGTGCATGGGTTTGCGTCAAAGTCAGGGAGCTCGCCCAATACCTGTGGTTTTGGGCTCTTCCTCGCAACAAGCCCTTGTTGGGGGGTACCGGGATACCCAAAAAAGACAGCAGCGACAACAAACAACTCAAGCTTTTTTGCACATGTGCATTTTGCGGTGGGATGCTGTGGCTAAGGAAGGACTCACCCTTCACCATTGCCGCCTTTACCTTCTTGGCCCTGGGCATCTTTCACGGCATCCGGGTGGCCAGCGGCATCTCTATTCAGGCCAGACAGCCGGCCATAAGACCGTTTTCCGATTTGGAAAGGACGGGGGGTTCCTCAAAGGATACAGTTCGCCCGCTAGAAAAAACTACTTTCACCGGCTTTACAGGATTTCCTTGAACATCAAATAGTTTTCGGATGTATCTTTTTTTTGGGAGGGAGCCGCTTTTTTGTGACTGAGTGCATGTTTTGGCCAAGCATTTTTCTTCGTTTACCCGGAAAGCCTTTCAGGGGATGGAGAATGGTTTGCTGTTCCAGGAAAACCATTCCAGGAGGGCTATTGGAAAACGGTCATTCAAGTACTGACTCTGTGTCAAACAGGTAGCCAAAATAGAACCCTGGTAAATGGAACACATGAAACAACAGCTGCGGTTCCCTGGTGGTTGACCATGGTTGACCCATACCCTAGCCTGTTTGGAAACGAGAGTTGTGAATGGACTTTGTGCCCCTCATGCTAGCAGGGGAGTGGGCGTCACTTAGAATTCCACTTGTAGTCAGTCCATTGAAAAAAATAACATACCTGGCGTGGAATACGCCCAAAGGCATGAGAGACACACCGGATGAGGTTCAGGCTGGATCTTTCCGTAAACCTGCAGGGTGTGGAGTAAGACACCCCCTCGGGATTGCAAGCCCTGGGGTTTGCGGGGAGCCTCCCCCTATTTGTACCGGGGAATGTGGATGCTCGAAGAGATTCAAAGGCAGAAATAGTTTGCTTTCAAGTGACCTGCAAAAGGACAACAGGCGGGGGCAAAAGGCACAGGGTTCAATGGAGTTCCGATAAAGTTGACAAAATGGTATGTGGTCCGTGGATGTTAGTTCCCTTGTCGCTCTCCTTGTTTGAGTGCAGGGGCAGAAAATCCACCTGAGATTGTAAGAGAGATCTTGAAAAGACCAGAACCCAGGAATTGCAGCACATGATCTTTGCTTCCTCCATGCATGCATTTGTTCAACTCGGTGTGGTTGTTTAACCAAACAGAATTAATTCAACCAATGTTTGGCCAATTAGTGTCTAGGACACTTTTTGGTGCTGGCATCCTTACACTTCGTCACATCACATCGCATCACACGTGTGGAGCAAGATCGGCAGTACCGCCAACGTATCCCGTTTGGGCGCGTGAGGCGGCATGGCAACCCTGTTTTTGATAGCTTTGTTCACGCTATGTCACGCTGTTTCTTTCCGCGCAAGTTGCATTGTACATTGTGAACCTCTTGCTTCTTAGCAACTTATGGCTGCCCCTGACGTTTTCCTGCGGCTGCTTTGCTCGCTCGGGCGTAGCCTGTGCAGACAAGGCCGCACAGCAGAGCAAGTGGCTCTACCCCGAGACCGAGTACTTCCCGCTGTGGTTCCCCGGCTGATGAGATCCTGCGCTTTTGAATCGCCGGCCAGGGGAAGGGTTAAGGGCGGGTAGAAAGACAGTTCCGAAAGAAACTGAATTTATTCACTTGCCGTTTGACTGCTGAAAGTGAACAGCTTCCAAAAAAACTCTTCCTTTTTGGGGGTGACAACCCGGTGTTCTTTTTCCTTTCGGTCAGGAGCCTTTCAATTAAAAGTCAAGTAACATGAAAGCAAACCCCTGGAAAGGAAACCCCTGTTTCCCATGGCCAGTCGTACAGGTTTCGCTGCAGAGTTATATGGTCGTTAGCTGCCATTCCGCCCGCCTGAGTCAATGAGTGCTTGATGCGTGGTAGCTGAGCCAAGGAAGCTCTATGAGCTGGAAACCACCAAGGACATCATTTGGTCCGCTGTGCTGCTCGGCCAAAGTCCCAACAGCACTTGTTCCCCGGTGCAAAGCATGCCACAAGAGTTGATGTCAGTACATGTTGTCTGCTCCATCTTGTGTTGGTTAAACTTGGACAAATCCATGCCCTTTGGCTGCGGGGAGCTGATAGTGCTGGTTTCCCTGTGAAGGGGTCAGGGGTTGGTTGTTTGAGCATGCTGATGTCTTGCCACTTCAATTGCGCTGCACCAATTTCCACTCACTCGAGAAGCAGCCTTGCGAGTCGCAAACACTAAGCAGCTCAGCCAAAACTTCTGAAGAAGGCGGCGACCAAACTTCAAAGAAGTAGTGGCTTAAGCATGTTCAAGGATGGACCCAACCTGCAAGACACGCACTGTCGTCGACTGGGGTGAAAAACAGGCGCTTGGGTTTACTCTACCCGGAGGGCACTTTCTGATGTATTACAATGTTATTGCAACACCATGGAGGCTATATATGATTAGCTTGTTCCCAGCAGCACAAGCGACGTGAAAGTATGAACTGTGAGAATCACGTATCAAAAGCTATGCATGTTTCCTTCGTTGCAGGTTCTCGAGTCAAGTATTTGGCCAATTTGGGCAACAATTCTTTTGGCAACCATGTTGGGTCAATGCTCCAAATGGTTGGCCAATGGACACTGAGCTCACTTCCCATCAAGGTCTGCTAGGGAACAGTCTACGCAGAAAATAAGTCAAGTTCCCTGTCAAGGAAAACTAAAAGCGCCTTTTTTTGTTGAGCAATGTTAATGGCAATTCGCCTTGTCACTATTGCTAAAGCTTACAAGCCAGTGTTAAAACAGCTTCGCAGCAAAAGACAAAACAACAATACCGCACTGAAAAACAAGCAAGTAACAATTGAAAGTAAGCATACTGGACAAGTCAGCAAAGGGGTCCACGTGGAGCCAACAAGCCTTGCCCCCAGTAAGGTGATTGGAATGCTTTTTAGTGAAGATATTTGTCCCATTCTGTGGGCTTTTTGTCAGCAGGTTCTTCAACATGGACAAGATCTTGCTCAGTGCCTTCATCATCTCAGTGGTCAACATCGCTTGCCAACTTGCGGTGACTTCAACACTTTTACCCCCGAAGGCGATCCAATCGATCGGACCGGTTTCTTTGGGTTACCCTCCCAGCGATTCCATGGATTTGTGCACAGACCCCTGTAGAAAGACTACAGGCTCCACAATTTCAGATGGGGCTGGGTGCGGGTGGTGGTTCATTCGGGTGTGCTTATGAGACCCCATGGAGCAGCTGCAAAGGATTGCCCGAGGGGACTATAGGCAGATGTCCGTTGCCAGCAACGTATGGTACAGGCATGTACAGGCAACACACCAGCCCAGTGGTGTTGGCAGGTCATGGGGACGTCAACCTTCGACTACGATGCTTGGATGCGGGACCAGATGTGCCGCTCTTATCCCTGGTTCCTTCATTTTGTTCTTTCTTTCTTTTTTTTCCGAAAAAAGTCACCCGTACTTGGTGGCTTGGATAGGTGTTTTGGGGATCTGAGCCCACCTGTTGAAGCCAACTGGAGGTCCAAACCACCGGGCTCCAAACCAGGACGGAAGCTGAATGTCGCAGATCGTACCCCAAAAAGTTGCGCCAAGCTGAAGGGAAAGCCTCCAGCCAACTTGGAGCTTTCTGATCCAGCCTCATTTTGTCGTTCGAGTGCAGAACTCCACCTCTGCGGTTTCTTGGGGATGGTCGTAGCCCAAATCTGCGTTTGCTTGGGTTCTCATGGAATACCCCCATTTTTTGGTGTTGTTTGTATCCATGGGTTTTGTTGGGGGTGCATTGGTCACCCGAGTGCCCGCTCGCAATCCTTTGCATGGCTCGATTCCCATGTGGCTGTCCCTCCCAATGACAAATGAGTGATAGACTACTGGTGAGTTTGACCAAACCTCATGTAGTGAGTTAAGAGAATGATTGTTTCCGACTTGTAGTCCCCAGCCGAGATTCTTAGTCATAGCGTCAAAGACCTTGCGCCTTGCTAGGGATTGGTTCCCTGCTATCGGAACAAGTCCAATATGCCCCTCGAACGATTTAGCAGGGCCTTCGTCTTCGTGCGGCTCAGGAAATGATCGTCCAAGGCTGGGAGCCCAAGACGTGACAAGAACAATGAGGGCACGGTCGTTTTGCTTGATGCCCGGATGTCAATGGCAACCAGTCTTCGTCTCAAGCGCACAAAAAGGATCCAGGGCTTTGTTTGGCCTGGATTCAGACGAATGTGGATAACCCGGCCCCAAATTTCCCAATCCCCGCGCCTGTCCCCCCCCCAATCCCTCCCCCCACCCGCCCCAAATCCCCTGACTCGGCGGGACAGGCCGGTCCCACATCTTGGCAAGCCTCTTCTTCGGCTTCTCCGCGGACTATGGGAACGACGACACCCTGGTGCACCGCATGGTCGGAGGCGGGCCCCGGATCCAGGGAAACTAGTTCGCACATGGACCAAGGGAAATGAGGGAAATTTGCCCGCTCCAAATATGCGCTTTTTAGCCTGTGTCTATTGGGTGGGTATGCTGATTGTTACCTACTTGTGCAATTGGGAAGTACCGAAGGGACTTTTGGATATCAAGCGTAGTGAGTAGGCATGCAGTTGTCTCGTGCATTCTCGTGCAGAAAGCGGCAATGTGTGCACTCTGAGTCCAAAGCCAGGAGTCAGGTTTCACTTTTGAACAGGAGGACTGCTTTTCAACCTTCCCATGTCCATTTCCACCCCAACAAGTCGGAAAGAAATTAAGTCCTCGTGTTTCTAGCCCCCGCCATGCTTCCACATTCGCCATGCTACCGCATGTATCCTGCAGTCTATTGTGTTCCTTGCAACTAGCCTGCTTTTACGTTCTACAACTGAGGCAGGTTCCGTTTGAGTATGTGGGCCCACGTCCTCACCATGGCCTTGCCACCTGGCTTCCAGTGAAGCCTTGGACTTTCCAGCCCACAAACTCCACCCTTCGCTTGGTACGTTTCGAACGCGTTGGGGCCGAATCGACCCTTAACGAGTTGATCCAGGAGTCATGGCCATAGGAGAGGGGAGTTGGCCACATCCAAGGTCTTCCTTGGAAACTTGCATTCTGGGTAACGCATTGCAAAGGATAACGGGGTGTTGCAGGCGATCATACTGTGCGTGCACAATCGGATTACAGAATTGCAGAGTCTCACCAGTGTCAGCGGTCAAATGTTACACTGGTGGACTAGAGTTGGTAAAATGATGGGGCTAAACCTTTGCACGCGAACACAGTCACACACACACATTTTGTCATATGATCATGGCTAAATGTGGTTTTAAGTTTTAAGTGCTCCACAGCCCCATTCTACATAGTCATTGCGACCCTCATGTGATTTTCTGGGTTTGGGTGGCTGATCTGTGGTCGTCTTACGGTGCCACCGACAAGCCAAGGCCGACATAGATAGTGCACAGTAGTCCTTTCCCCTATTTTCATAAACATGGATGGCCGATGCGATTCGGCTCGATTCGATTTTTCGATTCGACTAGGGCCGAAGCGATTCGAAGCGATTCGACCGATCCGATTCGACCAGCTTGCAAGGCTCCGGGGGCACAACTGATGGAAGTCTCCAGAAACAGCGTGCTCCCAGATGCGTTTTCCCGGCCCCGAAAAATGCATCTAGACGAGCGGTTGATTTTTAAGGCTCCTAGAAGGAGCATGCTCCCAGATGCGTTTTCCCGGCTCCGAAAAATGTATCTAGACGAGCGGTGGATTCTCAAGCAGCTCCTAGAAGGAGCATGCTCCCAGATGCGTTTTCCCGGCCCCGAAAAATGCATCTAGACGAGCGGTGGATTCTCAAGGCGGATCCTAGAAGGAGCATGCTCCCAGATGCGTTTTCCCGGCTCCGAAAAATGCATTTGGACAATCCGTGGGTTCTCGAGGCAGCTCCTAGAAGGAGCATGCTCCCAGATGCGTTTTCCCGGCTCCGAAAAATGCATCTAGACGAGCGGTGAATTCTCAAGGCAGCTCCCAGAAGGAGCATGCTCCCAGATGCGTTTTCCCGGCTCCGAAAAATGCATTTGGACAAGCGGTGGGTTCTCAAGGCAGCTCCTAGAAGGAGCATGCTCCCAGATGCGTTTTCCCGGCCCCGAAAAATGCATCTAGACGAGCGGAGGATTCTCAAGGCAGCTCCTAGAAGGAGCATGCTCCCAGATGCGTTTTCCCGGCTCCGAAAAATGCATTTGGACAATCCGTGGGTTCTCGAGGCAGCTCCTAGAAGGAGCATGCTCCCAGATGCGTTTTCCCGGCTCCGAAAAATGCAGCTAGACGAGCGGTGATCTCAAGGCAGCTCCTAGAAGGAGCATGCTCCCAGATGCGTTTTCCCGGCCCCGAAAAATGCATCTAGACGAGCGGTGGATTCTCAAGGCGGATCCTAGAAGGAGCATGCTCCCAGATGCGTTTTCCCGGAGCGGTGGATTCGATTCTCAAGGCAGCTCCTAGAAGGAGCATGCTTCCAGATGCGTTTTCCCGGCTCCAAAAAATGCATCTAGACGAGCGGTGGATTGTCAAGGCAGCTCCTAGAAGGAGCATGCTCCCAGATGCGTTTTCCCGGCCCCGAAAAATGCATCTAGACGAGCGGCGGATTCTCAAGGCAGCTCCTAGAAGGAGCATGCTCCCAGATGCGTTTTCCCGGCTCCGAAAGATGCATTTGGACAAGCGGTGGGTTCTCACGGCAGCTCCTAGAAGGAGCATGCTCCCAGATGCGTTTTCCCGGCCCCGAAAAATGCATCTGGACAAGCGGTGGATTTTCAAGGCAACTCCTGGATGGAGCATTCTCCCAGATGCGTTTTCCCGGCCCCGATAATGCATCTAGACGAGCGGTGGATTCTCAAGGCAGCTCCTAGACGGAGCACGGTCCCAGATGTGTTTTCCCGGCCCCGAAAAATGCATCTGGACAAGCGGTGGATTTTCAAGGCAGCTCCTAGAAGGAGCATGCTGCATGCTCCCAGATGCGTTTGCCCGGCCCCGAACAATGCATCTGGACAAGCGGTGGATTTTCAAGGCAGCTCCTAGAAGGAGCATGCTCCCAGATGCGTTTTCCTGGCCACGAAAAATGCATCTAGACGAGCGGTGGGTTCTCAAGGCAGCTCCTAGACGGAGCACGCTCCCAGATGCGTTTTCCCGGCCCCGAAAAATGCATCTGGACAAGCGGTGGATATTCAATAGCAGCTCCTAGAAGGAGCATGCTCCCAGATGCGTTTTCCCGGCCCCGAAAAATGCATCTAGACGAGCGGTGGATTGTCAAGGCAGCTCCTAGAAGGAGCAGATGCGTTTCCC